CGCCCCCCCTGCCACGGGGCATGGCTTGGAGGAGCACGAGGGGGTTTTCTAATACTCCAGCGAATTTATGGAGCGCGTCTGAGACGCGGCGCTGCTGTCGCTGCAATCCTCTTCCCACAAATCCCACTTCCAACACCAAAAGTTGTTTTTCTTAATTAAAAAAAAAAAAACCAAACCACCAACCCAACCAAAAAAACCAACCCAAACCACAAACTTCGGGGTTTCCACGGGAAACTATTCCAGAAATGTTTCTGGCCAAACCAGCGGCGCATGGGGATCTCCTTAGCCTGGCTGTAAGGCGTGCCTGGGGAGAGGTGGGGGCTGTCTCTGAGCTCTTCCCTTCCCCACAGAGCTGAGCTTACGCATTTTTTCCCCGCTCCCCCCCCTCCAGGAGACACTCCAGAGCGACCTGCTTTTTCTACAAAAAGAGAAAGAAGAATTTAAGCCCAAAGGAGAAAGGAAAAGCGACAGCCTGCTGGTATGTGTTTCTCTCTCCGCGCGCACGCCGAGCCCCCTGCATGGGCACGTCCCAGCTTTCCCTCTCCCCATACATATTTATCTCCTTTTCCGTAACGCCACCGTGTTCTCTCTCCCTCTCTGCCCTTCCCATGTACCCTTTTTCCATCCTGCTCTCATCCTGGGTCCATCAACATCCAGACTTGCCATTTCTCTCCCCGCTCCACTCTTCCAGCTTTTCCTCCCCCAAAACTCATCTCCTTCCCGTGATCCCGTGATCCTTGCCCCCCTCTTCGCAGCGCCAGGTCCCTGTGCCTGCGCGGGGACCCCCGGAGGACCGGGTGGCTCAGGGGGCCTCCGCGCGGGTACCTTGCAGGGGAAGGTGGCCTCTGAGCGGCAGAAGCTGCGGAACACCTTCGAGGAGCTGCAGCAGTTCCTGCGGGAGCAGGAGGGCGTCCTGCTGGCCCGGCTCGACCAGGCGCGCGAGGAGCTCACCACAGAGCGCCGCAAATACGTCTCCAGCGTTTTGGAGAGGAAATCGCTGCTGGACACGCTGATTGCCGAGATAGAGAAGAAACGCGACCAGCCGGTGGTGGAATTCCTTACGGTGAGGCTGCATTGCCCACCC